TTTCTGTGTGGAGTTTGCATCTTCTCCCTGTGTGTGCATGGGTTTTCTCTGCTGGTTCTCTAGCTTCCTCCCACAGTCCAAAGACACGCAGACAAGGGTTAGATTGATTGGAGACACTAAATTGGCCATAGATGTGAATGTTAGATTGAATCCAGTGTGGGGGAACCCTGCCTCCCACCCAGTGTCAGCTGGGATTGGTTGCAGCTCCCTCCGCAACCCTCAAAGAGATAAGCAGTATAGATGATGGATGGATAAATGGACAATATGTATCCCACCAGCAATAAATCCCATTATCTGTTTTTTTCCTTGCTATGAAATAAAATTTACAATGGTAGCTGACTGGATAATTTTCCACAAATCTCCATAATAAAAATATTATGACATATTGGACAAGTTATGCAGGATGATAATGTCAGCCAGCAAGTTGATCATCTCCACAAGCTGGAATAATGGTGTTTACATACTTTCTAACTCACAGATAAGTGTTTGTTATGATTTAAATAAAGTACTTTTTATTAGGAAATAAAATTGAATTTGTTCTAGATGCCCTGTTATACACTGTTTAGTGTGAGTCACTGTTTCCTTCAGACTCTGCAGTGGAGGTGGTGAGTGCAAAGACCCATAGAGCCACAATAACCGTCATACTAGGTATGTATATACCAGAAATATCTGTTAACAGAGATATCAGAGTCATTGGTGAAAAACCCAACAATTCTTATAAATCTACAATTCTTGTTTCCCGAAATAAAAATTTCAGGGTCAGCTGTTAATTCTCAAAGACAATGAAATGAAAACTATTGATTTAGAAGATACAATCAAAATATTATTGCAGGTTTTCCAAACTGATAAGTGGTTTCTACAGCCTACATTGTATCTGACATCTTATTTCTTTATCTTGCACTGCTGTAACATAACGTCCAGAAGTCCTTAATGTAGCAAAGTAAGACAGTCAGCAGATGGAGTCTCCTCCTGTTCTTCTCCTCCTGACCAATGAGGTGCTTTAAATCCCCGTAGGGTGCGCTGGACCTCCTCCCGCTCCTGCATCTGCTCCTAAATTTTAAATAATGAAGGTAATAATAATGAGTGCAAGTCTGCTCCCATCAGGAGTGCGAGAGGTCAAGCTGCCTATGGAGAGTTCACCCGCCACACATTCCATGAGCAGCTCCAGGATTTATCCCCATCAGAGACTGCTCTCTTTCTGCTTCTGTTCTCAGCTGACATTGCTCTGGAGGTGAAGTTAAAGGACCATTCCAGTTTATTGCAAATTTTAAATTATGGGTTACAGAGCAACAGTTTGGCCACATTATCTTAACGACTTTGTCTGGAGGCAAAACTTAAGTGAAATGAAAGGTGCTTTCAGACCAGCACTGAACTCTCAGTTCCTCCATATTTTCTCCAGAGGAGGTGTGAATGCAAATGTCAGAGTGAAACAATCCGCAGTTTCACCGTATGGCCTCTGAGTATAATGTCCCTAGAAATCCAAGAGAAGTGGATGTGAGACCACAGTAGGGGATCCCCCGCTGGATTCAGCGCAAGCACGTGGGGGGTTTGATGATGCTTCTAATATGCGACAGACGCAAAAAAGAAAAAACTAAAAGAAAAAATATCTCAACTCCGGGTGAAAAAGCCACCACTGGATTTAGAAGCTATTCGCTAACTAGCTGTTATAAATGTATGCCTGCAACTAGACTGAACCAGAGACAGTAAATGCATGTGCCAGAAAACCAAAAAAACATTAGGCTGAAAGATGCTAAAATGCTGCGTACAGCTAAGAAGAGTTGTAAAGATGCGCCTGGCGTCGTCATTATAAGCAACAACTTTGAGATAACCCACAGTCAGTTGACTCTTTTCTCATATAACAATATTCATAAGCACAGCTTTGGTGTTCTCATAAACTGTGTACTACTGTTACTTGACTACAAAGAGGAAGGAAACCATAGCCAACAATAAATTAAGCTGTATATAAACCATTGTGGGTTTAAAAAAGGGCTGTTCAAATAACTCCTGTTTCCAGCCTGAATATTGTATTTGTCTCTGCTCAGTTCCAGCCCAAGTCACTGACGCATGAAGCAGATGATGAAGTACTGCAGGAGTTTTGAGTATCTTGTCCTTTCTTTAAAACGGGTCACGGCCATTTATAATCCTCTGACAGAACAGGCCTTATTCCTTTTCTCCGAGAGGACCAGAGGAGAATCACTTTAATGAATCATAGGGGGGTTATTCCTGTGGTATGACTAATCAATCGAAGGCCTTGATTACGTTTGTTCACCACTGGAACAATTCATCTTTTTACCTTGTTGTCCTCCCTTGACGATCTTTCCAAGAAGATAACGAGGAGAAGGCGTGTGTTGACTTCTCTTTAAATCTCTGGACGTTAAATAAGCTTCAGCTCATCCGGAGTTTGTGAGAAAAAGACAGGATGGGACATAGAGTTTTCTAATTGTAATCTCCCTAACCTCATCCTCCTATAAACAACCACGGCAACAGTAAAACAAAACTTCTGACAAGCCACATGGATCGAGAGACTGATTCGCGGCTAGCTGGGGGACAGCAGAGCCCACAACAAGACTTCAGGACTCTCTCCACTCAGAGCATAGAGGCCCAGAGGAGGGGAGGTTGTTGGAGTGGGGGCCTGTAAGCAGCCGATCTGTGCTGTTGCTACATTCAACAGTTGTTGTCAATTCAGAGATCAATGGAGACAAAGTCATGAAGACTTCAGAGCGAAGCTGCATTGTTGCGGTGGAGAGTTTTACATGAGCCCGTCTTTCATAGGAGACAGGACTTTGTTCTGAGCATTTGTTTCTCATTTTCTGCGGGTCCTGGGGATCCATTGCGGTTAAGCACCAAGAGGTTTTTGTTTAAATTTCAAGAGCGTAAACTATTCCATCATGACATTTGGACACATACATGTTGTACAAACACTGTGGTGCACATACCCAAGTGGGACTAATAGATTTAACAATTAAATATAAATCAAAACCATCTATGTGAGTTTTATTGAAGTGGAACATTTTCTGTAAAGTAATATGAAACATAATGATATACTGTGACTAGTGCGCTGGTTGTTTTTTTTTTTTGCAATGACTAATATTACAGACTAGTACTGTTGCTGCTGCTACACTGCTGTCAATTCTGTGATGCACCAATATATATTTGTTCAGGTTGGTGTCACCATAGTCTCTTATTACTAAACTAAGCACTGTTGCTTCACCTTTCTGCGTGACTGTACATTCATGAGATCATAACAGATTCAGATTCTGTCTTCACCTCAGTTGAAAGTTCAATTTTTAGGTCATACTGTGACATTTCTGTGGCTTTAGCTGACTGAGCTGACAATGGTGTATAAGTCACAGGGGATAGGGGATCTCCACAGCTAAGAGCTATTCATTCACTATAGTTGGTTTAGTTTGAAGCTTCTGAATGAAAGATTTGTTTGTATGGTATGTGCACTCATCACCTCTGGCGCAGAACTCACTGCAGCATGTCACACTGTTGCATGGCTTGAAAATATTTCAGTCCTTCTTTCAGCAAGCCTACAGCGTTGTTTATGTACTTTTCGTGATTTTCAATTATGATATAGAGAATTTTAGGAGCATTCATCCTGACCGACTTGTGAAGTTTAAACCAGGATGGCTCACAGAGGATGGCAGTAAGTCTAGCATGCTAATGTCGTCACCTTAGACTGTATATTAAGGTGGACACCATGACAACTCCCCAAAATTTAAGCCAAACAATCTTGATCGCCCCCTGCTGGTTGGCTGCAGCAAATGTCAAAAATCTGACGTCCTTCATGTTTGTGGATGCGACATGGACCAAACTGAAAAGTCAAAAAACATGTACATTTTTAAAAAAATTCTCAGAGATGCTTTCTGTCATACTGGGAAATGACACTGTTGTATGTCTAACCACAATTTTTTCGGGTACGTTTAGCCTTAATCATTCTATGCTATATTGCTAAAATGTCAAATATTGACTGATTGGTCAATTGCACATATCAATGGGACTTACTGTGCAGACTCTGGCTACAAATGAGCTAGATGGCGGCGTTTTGAGGATATTTTGGCTTCATGTTTGGATTGTGGGAGAAAGTGGAAACTTGTTGTGCATCTTTATTTAAAACCAGTCTTTGGTAATTAGTTAGCACAGATTCCTACTTTTTGTTCAAGTTCAATCTTCTTCTTTTGATTTACTGAAACAAACAGCAAGAAGTACATTGCTGATGTTAGGACCTTTATGAAAACGATAAATGGGCCATTTGGGTGAACCCAACCAGCCTCTAATTGCATTGCATTATCTGGCCAACATTGATCAAGTGAGCAGCAGAACAATGGGCAATACCCCACTGGAACCACTTTAGTGGTTTAGCTGCCATCTTCGCCGACTGGACTGGTTGGACATGATGCAGAGGCAGCACATAGGAAGCTGGGTGAAGAAATGAATCTATCTCTCTAATAAAATCATAGTTAAGAAGAGGGAAAGAGAACTAGCTCGGTTTGGTTTTTAAAAAACCCCAAACGTAAAGTAGAATGTATCAGATTATATAGTATACTGTATGCTGATAGTAAAATGTAAAAGGGAGACAGCTGCATTTGTCATACCACGCTAGTGGAGGGGGGGGGTGTAGATGCCACTTTGTCTCTGTCGTCATGCTGCTGACTGTTGTGGTCTCTTTTTTAACATGTTCAATTCCTCACAGATGTGGTGTTCACTTTAAAGGCATATTCCCTATCATGGCCATTAAATCCATGTAATGGCGCCAAGATGTTCCCAGAGACAGGAGGCGTATAAAACAAAGAGCAACATACTCCAGAGGAACATACTAAAACTGAAACGAAACACTCAAAGTGCATGTTTAGCAAAAGCCACATGGTGCACAGAATAACAGCAACATAAAGCTGTTAGTTTTTAAAATGGCTTCCCTCAAAGAAACCACAGTGGTAGAACAAATAGCTTGTGGGAATACAAGACAAAGCAAGCAACATTGAAATAAAGACGTGATCATTTAATCAGAGATGTGCAACATACAGTTTGAAAGGACATGGTAATTGGAGCATTTTTATTGTTTTTAACAAGCCTCTCATTTGCACTGTTAGTAATGGAGAATGTCTGGATGTATTAGTGGGGTTCCTCTCTTTCATTGCATCCCTGCTGAGACAGTATTGCACAGCCTATAGCAAAAAGACCATATATTTTTCAAGCAGACAGGCTCATAAAAAAACCAAAAAAAGGCACAGCTCCTAATCCACACTTTAATGAGAGAAAACGGAAGTAATGACATGCAGGGAGTAATCTTTCTTCTGTCTGCTCCGCCAACTGACACCAATAACCCGTGGCCGACTTAATGCCCTGGTTGTGACACGTTGTGTAATAGCAAGTGAAAACTTCTCCTTTGGTTTTTCTCCCACAGGCAAATATTAAGAATGATGACACTTTAACAATTGCTGGATCAGAGCGCTCAACTTTGTCATCATGAGAGAATCCTATTATGCGGCGGCATAATGGCCCTCTGTGGAAACCGAAAGAGAATGAGTATCACAAGGCAACTGGAAAACAAAGCTTATTTGAGGCGTCTCGCCATCCGAGCTGCCCTTTGTGTCAGAGCACGGAGCCCCAATTGTTTTCTCCTCAGCGAGTAAATGCCCGGCTTAATGTGGTTCCGCGGCTCGGAGGAATGATACCGTGAGTTAAGTCCAAACAATATGATTACATTCATTTCAGGACACACAAGATTACATTTGCACTAAATGAGTATACAGACTTCATAAAGTTTACTACGTCTTTCCACATGCAGTAAAACGGCTCCACGCTGCAAACATTTCTGGACCGCTATGAGAGGAGCTTGCAGAACATCTTGATAGGACGAAGATGCTACTTTGGCTTTCTAACAATGGGAGGTTGCTTCAGTTCTCCCCAGGGCTCCTTTCCCTCATTCCAAACGGTTTGATAGCTAACAATTTGAGCAATAAACACTTAGTGGAATGGCAGCTTGCCATTTCCTCTCTCTGCCTGCGTTTGTCTCACTTTGTAGCATCAAGAGGCCGCAGAGAACAGCTTGTCATGAGCCATAGAAAAAGGGAAAAAAACATGACATCTGAGGACAGAGAACAGTCGTGTTTTGTATGTCATGTCATTCAGGTTATATTTGAAACATGCATGCAAAATGTAAAGCTTGGGATTTGACAATGTCATAATTAAAGTTATTTGAAGGAATTGATCTTAGGAAAAGGTAAAGGCATACATAGTAGAGACTAACCAGAAGATAAAGAACATTCTTGTTTCTCTTCATAACGAGCAACACTTAACCGGTCAGAACAAACTGCTGAATGAAACAATGTAGCTGGTGTTTCAGAATCATCTGTATCTTATCACTGCGAGAGAAAAAAAATCCCCTAAACAGAAAAATGTGGAGAGCCAGACTTTTCCTTCAAAGAGCCTCCAGAGCGGCTGTTGTCTTTAAGGAGGGAGGGAGATTGCTTTCAGCAGCTTCGGCCCTCGACTGGTTCTCATCATTTTGACAATAAAACTCAAGGAGTTGAAACAAAGCAACGTTTCATGAAAAAAAGAGTGAGGGGGCTAGGAGATTTCCGCTGGTCTGTGCCGAATAGTCCCCCCACTTTCTCAATCCAACTGCCAAAGAAAAGCAGAGTGGTGATTTTAAGGAGAGCTTTAGTCAAGCTTTTGGGGGCTTAATTCCTCTCTGGCACCCTGGGGGCTGAAGGACGAAGGGACCAAAGGGCTTGAAACGGTTCAAAGATGAATGAGTGATTGTGCTTTAAACTCCCAGAGGTTTGTTTTGGTAGTTTCAGGATTTATTGCAGCGTTTTGTTGCTTTGTTTTCACAAGCCAAATAGATCTGACACAGAAGATAAAATCAAAGTTTGCCGTGTGGAAAGTGAGTTGAGATCAGATCAGATCACTGCAACAACACCAAGGTGACTTTTAGGCACTTACAGCTTTATGTGACCTTGACGAGGATATGAGAAATGTCAAGGAACTCAATGCGTAACATTAATCTGTACAAAGGGAGAATATTAATTGAGGATACATGGGCAGTGCATGCTTTAAACAAGGCTTATAGATTATTCACACTATTGTATTTATATATATTTACAGACAAAACTGTACAATTTTTACATATTCCTACTGATAAATGCATTAAAAAAGAGTCATATGAAAATACACCAGGGGTGATTGTCCTCTCACACGTCAGCACCCGAGGAGATCTGTGATATCCTGGGGTCAGAATCGATCTCAAAGCGGTAGTGGTAGCCTTCCCACACCTCCCTGCAAGCGTCCCGCATGTCGTAGATCCGCTTCTTGATGCCCTTGCGGTTGAGATAAAGTACAAATAGGAAGATGAGGCCAATGAAGCCCAGAACTACACCCAAGAACACGTAAGAGGTCTGCAAAGCAAGGTCGGCCCCTGCGTCTCTCTGTCGGCATCCAAGAGTCATCGTGCTCACAGCAAGCATGGATGTGTTCCTCATGCTGGGTGGGAAGGAGCACACAAGACTATCAGCGTTTCTAATCCGCCCCTGTGATCTGTTGAGCCACAGAGCGAAAGGTTCAATTCCACATGTGCATGTAAAGGGGTTTTCCTCCAGCAGCAGAGCCACTCCGGGCAGGGAGTCCAGCTCTCGCAGGCCCTCCTCTGGAAACGTCTTGAGGGCATTAAGCGTGAGGTCGAGCTCCTCCAGGTGCTCCAGACCTGCGAGCGTGGAGTTGTGGATGGCCACAAGGGAGTTGTTGGACAGCTGGAGCCGTCGCAGGCTGCTCAGGTGGGAGAAGATGCGTGAGGGCAAATAGATGAGGCTATTGTGGGACAGGTCCAGTCCCTGAAGGGCCCCCAGGGAGCTCCAGCGCAAAGACGTGGCCAGGTCCATCACTGTTGAGTGGTTGTAGAGGGCTCGGCTCAGGTTCAGCTCCTGCAGAGACTGGTTCAGGACGGTGAAGGCCTCTGGGTGAATGATCGCCAGCTGGTTGTTGCTCAGGTCCAGATGGCGAAGGCTGCGGAGTCCGGCAAATGCGTTGGAGTCCACCTCGGATATTCTGGGTTTGAGGACAACCAAGAGACGTGGTTTACACTTTGCAGACCAAGACTTCTACTTGCACCACTTAGAATGTTACTAAGGAATAATGAGGACCAAGCAATAACTGAAGACATTATCTGAAAAGCAATCTTTTGACTCCCCCATGTCCTGTGTGCTTTGCATTAGAAGCAGAGGACAGAGCAGGACAGTCTTACCTGTTGTTACTCAGAGACAAGTTGGTCACGTTCTCCAGTCCTTTGAAAGACTCTGGACCAATGCGACTGATCTGATTCCCGGTGACGAACAGATTCCGCGTGTAGCCGGGGATCCCCGCCGGGACACTCCGCAGGTCCTTGGAGACGCACTTCACGGTGTGAGCCGCCTCCGAGCACTCGCAGCGTGGAGGACACGATGCGTGGACGGAGCAGAGGAGCGCGGAGGAGAAGAAGAAGAAGAAGAAGAAGACGCACCGGGCCGGATCCAGCATGTTGGGAAGTGCTGCGGGAGAAGCGGTAACTAAACTAACGCACAGCGGCGGGAGGATCAAGTAGAAATGAGACGATCAGCTCCTCCTAGACATCATCTCCCTCCCTCCTCTTCATCATGCGTTGTCCCGGCCGGGAATGTGCGTTTCAACTTCGCATCCGTGCACAAAGTGTGGCCGGGAGGCGGCAGGCTGTGATTTCCATGAGAACAGAAGAAGGGGTCGTGCCGATCACAGGGGTGGGGTGGGGGGGTCGCTTGATCCTTGTGCCGTGGAAAAGCGGGCGTCGCTGTACTTCTCTAACAATGAAGTTAAAAAAGGACCATCCACTCCAGCGCGATGATCCGGGGGAGGGGCTTCTCTCCCGCCTGCACCCCCCCCCCCCCCCCGAGGGATTCGTGAGGAGAGGCTCGGCAGTTACTGCGTTACTGTACTCAAGTACGTGCAGATGTACTTTGTTATATATTTTACTTTTCACTTTCAATCCACAACTTTAATTTCAGGAAATATCTGAAAATCTCCTTTTGTGCATTCACTCAGAACTGCATAGCCTATTTATATTTTGTGGATTTATTATATAAAATGTATGTACTTTGTTAACTCACCAACTTTTACTTTGTGGATTTATTATAGCTATGTGCCACTCTTTCAATTTGCCTCTGTGTACTATCTATGTAGTCTGCATTATTGTGGTATTAAACTAAACATACACTAGGTGTAGCACACTGTTTCGTTAGGATGGTATTTTTTACTTTTAATACTTTGAGTACATTTAAAAGCAAGTATGACCTTTAACTCAAGTATAAAGGTTAGCATGGTACTTTCACTTGAGTACATCTTTTCCATGTTTAACATGTTCTTTTACTTCAGTGAAGGTTTCAGTGCTTCCTCCACCTCTGCTTTCAGCTTCCACTCTCCTCAGTATGTTTAATATGTAAGAAGAGTTTATCAGCCATGTTTTCTGTCATCATGTATTATTCACAGTTTGAGCTCTAGAGGTTTCTGTGTGTATTGTGATCAAATGTGATGACTGCCTTTTAGTTTCACTTTAGTGTTTGGTGATTCTGATGTCTCTGGTCATTCCCACCTACCCAGGTGGTATGGTAAAAGTGGGGGGAGGGCTCCTTTGTGGGGGCCAGACTGCAGAAGCTTTTGATCCCCCCCCCCCCCTTTTCTTGAATACCAGCATAATGGCCTCTGTGGGACTTTATGGCACTTAGGTAGCAGAGTATCAAAGCAGTGACGGGTTTCCTTCCTTAATGTGTATTCTGACAGATTATGATGATTGCTACAGGAATCATTTCTGAGTGTATTTATAGAAATTTGCTGAGGAGAAGGACTTTGCCTTTCATGGCCCAGAGAAACTCTTAACATCATCGCTCCTGCTGACAGCCTTGATGAAACACAGTTGTCATGATTTAATGATGGAAATCCAATTAGAACAGAACTTAAACTCCCAAAAAAGTTCTACAATAATAGACATCTTTATTGGTATTATAGCTGTAAGTCTTAAACACATTCAGCGTTCACACAATCACTTGCAGTTGAGTCTTAAAATCCCCAATGGGCTATATGATCTGCAGCATAGAAGATATTTTGGGGATTATAGAAATAAAAGAAGGTTTGGAAATTGCAGACTGGTATATATGGATATTGGCACTAATAATAGCATCCCAACTGTCTTTTGTCAACGGTCTGAATCACTGGGACCACATGTCTCCACATTCCTGGACCTGGCTCTTGGATACAACAAGGCACCAAGAGCCGGCCACATCTAAAATGATCCCACCATGAATGTGGCATTCTTAGTCAAAATGCTCCAACAAAGGACTGGTGTGCCATTTTATCTGAACAAGTTTTCTTATCTCTCTTCCTAAAATATACATAGACATTTAAATATGAGACGCAGTAAAATGACAATGTTGTGAGTTTCGTCAGCTGACCTCAAAGGGCTATTCATTCATTACCTTTCATGGCTCCCAATGCAATGAATAAACTGTTTCACCAAAGAACAAGTGATATATTCAAAGACACAGTTTTGCTCTCCCCCCTCTTATTTTATGACGTTTAGCTCCATTACAGAGAATCAAAGGGATTTTCCCTTTTATCCTTGTTTCTACAGGTATTTTGCACTGACATCTTCACTGAGTTTGGACAGAGATGGAACATGTCACTGAAGTTTGGACATAATGGGCATATTTCCGGATTACTGTGAGTAACAGCCCCCTGCATGCCATCCGTCTGCTTCCTTGTACCTAATGTCCAGAATATTATATATTATATAATCTATATATAATATACATGAGATCTTAGGGCATCAAGTGGTATTTACAATAAAAGCTATTTACTTCTTGGTGACAGATCTTTAAAAAGGGAGAAGAGAGTTATGAGCTGTCACAGAAAGGAGGTTTAAAAGATTCACAAAAGAGTTTTTAAATAGACAATTTCCCCTGTTCAAAGTGATGCCAGATTCTCTGTTTCTGTCTTTGTTCCCTTGTTCTAATGCTCTGAGAGAAAAAAAAATTATAGAGAATCTGGAGATATACACGTTGCGGGCTATAGCATGAAATCAACATTAACATACACAGGCCTGTTACAGTCTAATGTATTATTTATTCCTTCTATGGGTTTACTTGAAACTGATTAAGAGAAAGATATGTGTGATATATATATAAAAGAAATCAATCGATGGCTGCAATGAAATGCAGCTGATAATTAATCAAGAAGCCATTGTATGAGTCAAACATGAAATACTCTCTTCCTCAAACCCTCCCAATTTCTTGCACGCATGCAATATGCACATGCTGGCATGCAATCACATGCTCTCTCCTGTCAGATGCACGACTAAGGCACACACACCCACAAACACACACACTCACATTCACACACAAATCTGCAGAGATGATATGCAGAAGTAGAGTAAAGCGAACAAAACACTAAATTATTCAAAGGATAAATCCTTAGAGTGAGTGATCAAGTTTGCAAAGTACACAAAGAGCACCTGGTGTACAGTATAATGTGTGTTCAAATATTTACAGGCAACAAGGCTGAAATACACACAAAAAGGCCAAAGAATATCTGCTTTCAACAGAAGCTCAGTGAGGAGAGCACAGTCTAGAAAGCTGGCACTGTGTTAGCCCTACCTCGTATTAGCCCCATTACCAAAGAAAATAAAACTGACTTTAATTTAAAGGCTCACACTCTCTGTGCTGGATTACGGCAGGATGTTGGCGGGTATATTATCAAAGCTTCGTGAAAACAGTGCTGACATTTCACAATGACCTTCGAATCTGATCTGCAGAGGTGGAAAACAGCAGGGGCGACGCTGGTCAGTCGCCGGGAGAAAGTGGGGATATTCAGCAGGGGTCGGTGAGTGTGAAAAACCTGAGGATCCTGGCTACCTGCTGCTTCTGGCAGCACCGTGGACAAAGAGAGGGCTCAACACTTTTTTTCTGTTTGATTGCAAACAATAAGGGATTTGAATCTACTCAAGAAATCCATGGCAACGGAATTTGTGCATCAACCATGATGTGGACTTAACGTTTTCTTTTTGAAAACAGCTGAAAATATAATAACAGGGATGTGTGAGAAAGGTCATTTTTAGGCACTCGAGTCAAAATTATCTGATATGAAACAAAACATCTCTGAGGCTGAAAAAAAGATTTAACCAGGTTTCATAACTCGGACATCAAGGGGCTTTTCATTCACCAACTTAAGAGTCATCATGAGCTGTTTCACTAAATAACAAGCAGCATTTTCAAAGACACAGTTTGAGTTGGTCTCCAGTTCTCTTATGTTTGGCACAAGTATAGAAAACCAAAGGAGCTTTTACTATTCTGCTTGAAATTTTCTCACAGACACATTCACTGAGTTTGCTACAATCATTGCACTGATCATCTGTACCCAAAGGTATGAGTATTAGTCGTAAACCTACTTAATCTAGTTCCATGAGGTGACATATGTAATGCACATATAAAAAAATATTTCTTTTTAGAAGATGCAAACTTTCTAATAACATATGGAATTAGGCTACATCCATACTACTGTACTATACTTTCATTTGAAAACGTTGTTGATCTATGTCCACATGAGCGTTTTGGCACCATAACATGCCTGAAAACGTGACCACATGCACACTGGGCATGGCTAAGGCTATGTTATGACAGAAAAGACCCAATCAGGCAGTGGTTGTGAGTCTTTGCGTCACTGTTTCCAAATAGCTCTGTTTCTGCCCGTCAAGCCTAAAATGCAGCCCCACAGTTTTTAAACTAAAACGGGCCCCCAGCAGCTTTAGAGTACTGTGGACACCAGGCATATCAGGAGCAGGAGTTTTTGCATTTCCAAACAAAAAACGTAGTAGTATGGATGTAGCCTCTGCCTGAATACAAGTAAGAAAATGTGCAAACTGCTCTGGCACATGTTAGTTGCGGTAGAACTGTAGAAGAGCTACGTGAGACCAAGAATGAAATGCAATAAATTCCCTTGAAAGGCATGTAACTGTTTTAACATGTTTGTACTCCCAGGTATAAAAATGGCATTCTGGAAGCACTGAGTTATCCCTCACAAAGCAAGATCATCAAAATCTGAAAGCAAGGCATAGATGTGATTCCTTCAGAGGATTCAACAATGTACGCACCTCCGTTCAGCTATAAATGCAGCGAGACCTTTTCTACACTTTGCAGGTGGTGATGGCTTTAACCTGCTCTCAGGCTTTCAAGAATCATAATCAAAATCCAGCAGTTATAATCCATTAAGTGTGTTTGTATGGTCCTGGTGGTTGTGGTGGTGGGAGGGGGTATTCAGTCACTTTTCTCAAAATAACTGAATATTAATGGATTTCCGTCACTAGGCCATTCATGCGTCCCTACTGGAGAAATGCAACAGGCTTCCTGCTTTCCACAGACCAAGCATGCGTACGCATGTCCGGACACTGTTCGACATTCTCCTGAGAGGTGAGTAGTCTTTATGTCCTCCTTTACGTTCGCTCGACACCGTGTGGTGCCCCTCCCCTATCCTTGTTGTTTAAAAAGGTCAATCCCCCCACGTACAACCTGCAGGAGGTTCCACTGTGTCCGTAATCTGCCTCCCAGGTCACCGGAGGTTGAGGGCCAGGGCCACTGTCAGGATGATGCCCATCAGCATCAGGAAAGGCAACCAGGTCTTCAGGAAGCCTGCACAGCTGCATCAGACAGAGAGGAGAGCGAAGGTGAGGACACGAGAACGAGCACAGAGGTAGATAGGTAATGAAGGTAATGTTCCCTTTATAAATAAGAGTCCACCTGGAAACATGCATATGTGACTCTGCCTCAAACTCTGCCCACTGCTAACCAATCATTTTTTATGGTGAATCATGACATCAAGAAGAAGTACAACTCTCTGACAGAGACATCGAGGTGTTAGTTAGTGAGGTGGAGGTGAACAAAGACAGATTGTGTGGTGGCTACAGCAGTGATGTCAATAATAAAAGAAGTCTTGCTGACACAGTCAGTGCATTGAGTTAGAGTGAATAGGACAGAAAGGACAGTGCCTGAATTAAAGTGGTCAGATTTAAAGGTGGAGGCAAAAAAAATTTGTTTCTCATCATCAGAATGTCAAGGGAGTTGTTGTATCACCTGAATATATTTTAATCATTAAAAACTGCAGGATTATTAAATTCAGGGACAGCTGTGATAGCCTAAATGATATCTATAGAAACAATAATAATTTCAAAATTATGAAAAGAGGCTCGACACAGAAATAATATTATATAGCTTTAATGATATCACACACATACCTGCTGGCTAATTAATCCCAGAGTAATGAGTATCTGTTTGTACTGAGATGGTTCGAGTCCGTTCAACACAAAGATCCAAGATCACAGATCTATAGAATCTATATCAGTCAGTCGGCATCATGGGCCAGGGAATCTTCACAATAATTAAACACTCATTTCCTCCTCATCCTACTATCCACATACTCCTCTACCTGAGTCAGTGTTTCCATCACGCAGCATTAAGCACGAGTGTTACTGCAGTATTGATATTTACACCAATTGGACCGTTTACATCACACATAATTGGGATGCTAACCTCCACTCCGGGGACATTATTTTGACTCCTGTCTCCAGTGTGCTCTGCGCTGTGCACACAACAGCAAAGACACACAGAGAGACACACACACACACACACACACACACACACACAC